AAACTCTTGGGCTTAAGTGATTCTCTTGCCTCAGCCTCCCAGTAGCTGGGACTAAAGGCACCCACCACAGCACCCAGCTGTTTTTTGGTTGCAATTGTCATTATTGTTTAGCTGGCCCTGGCCGGGTTCGAACCTGCCACCCCTGGTGCACGTGACTGGTGCTATAACCACTATGCTACAGGTGCCGAGCATAAATGACAAATTTCTATGTCACGGAACACTGAGGAAATCTTTTAGACTGGAGAATTTTTGAAAGAGACACTTATTATGATTCAGGCAAGTGTCCAGAGAGGGTGCAACTGATTTAAGCTCCAAGAAAAATTCACTATCTCCCTGGGAGATTGTCCATATTTTGAGGGTTGGCATGTGAGGGCAGGTAAATATTAGGTAATATTGCTTAATGTTAGTAGGTTCTACTGAGGAGTGACTTTATTTTCAGATTAGTTGATTTGAAGGCATTTGTTTTGTTAGTAAAGGACAAATTCAGTTTGTATCATTAACTTATTTCCAGTGAAAGTAAATAAAATCATATGACCTACAAAAGAAAAGGGTGATAATATTTTCTCTTTCACGCTGAAAGAGAGGACTATCAAAAGGTACTAGGGAATGAGGAAGTTGAATGTATTTATCTGAAATGTGTGAATTTTTAAGGAATATCTTATAAAGACAATACAAATCTATAACTGATTGTCTTCTAAATAGGTTCTCTGTCTCTCCCTCTCACTCCCCACACTAGATTGTATATATTTCCCCTGGAGTGGAACATATCCCTTTTGTTCCCAAAGAAAAATATAAGCAAGAATTTGAATATGTCATTAGCTCTGCCCTCCCATAGTTTTAGATGGAGGCATTTATTTTATTTGATTCTGAGATTTCTAATTAATTGTACCAGGTTAAGGGACATATTGGGAGCCAGAGCCAAAATAGCCTGATATGCATTAAGTTCAGAGCAATTGAGAAATTTAAATCAAAAGAAAAGTTGAACTGTTTTAAACTTCAAAGAAGAATTATGATGGTTAACTTCTCCCCTAGCAAATATTCTTAAACACAGTAAATATTTATATGCAGTCACAGCCAACTTTGGAGGAAATCTCTGGGCAAATATCTAGTGTTTTTATTGATAGAAGATAGAAGCAAGGATGGATAGAAGCAAGGAATTAATAGAAGCAAGGATAGAAGCAAGGATAGATAGAAGCAAGGAATTAATTCTTGAGTTAGCACAGACAAAAAGACAGGGTTTGGACTCAGGCACACCCAGGCTCCTATTATACCACTGCAACTCCCTCTCCGTGAGACAGCGAGCAGGTAACTTCACTGAGGCTCCATTTTCTTCTCAATGACAGACACCATACCAGAGACCTTGTAGTGAGGTGATGCAAATTAAGCAAGGGAAATATGGCCTGGCGCCTGGCTGAACACAGGTGCTCCATAAATGCTGGTCTGTTTGTGTCTTTCCCAGCAAGTTTCTCTTCTCTACTCCCCTCAGAATTTCCCACAGTCACCTTTATGGACGCAGGGAGGCTCTTCCTCAAGGCTTCCTCCAGAGTCTGCAGCACCTTGGCCCCTTGCAACAGTGACATGGTGGAGGGTCACTTCACCTAGAGAGATAAGCAAACAGCATGAGCAGTGAGAAGAGCAGGAGGGACTCAGAAACAAGAGTGGTGAGGTCTGTGTTAATGGCCAGCTTTGTCTTCGGTGTCTCTTCCCTGAAGTCCTCTCCAACTCCAAGGGAAAGAGACTGGAAAAATTCATGGGGGATTTTTTTCCGTAAATTTTTAAATTCCATTTCTCACCCTTCTGTGAATTCCAGCCATTCGTTACTTTTCATCAACAAGCACATTGAAAAATAGATGTAAAAGCTTGGGAACTTTAGTTGGCTATCAGTCATTCTCTGGACTCTCCTACTGACAAGGTGTGTGACCTTGAGAAAGTTACTTATCTCTCTAAGCTTAGGTTTCTTCAAAGATGAATGGGATAATAGGACTATCTAACTCATGGAATTTTTGTGAGGATTAAATGAGTCAATAGATGAAATGAGATTAATAGAGGCCTTTCATATAGGAAATCCTGAACATTTGTTATTTATTTTATTATTACCTCTTTTTTTTTTTTAATCACAAGAGGATTTATCACTCCTCTCTATGTCTTATTCCTTTTCTTCTTTGTTCCCTCTTGAACTCACATGCTGTGCATTGACCCATGTTGTGATGCAGCGATTTTGATGTAGAGCCTTCTTTGGTCTAAATATAATCAATTAACCTATTTTTTTCATACACCCATGTCATCATTATTATAAGCATACCAACATCTCCATAGTTCCCCATAGTTGAAAAAAAGAAAAAAGTACACAGTGACTATAATAACTATATTCTAAATTTTTTGAAACTTAAAGTCCTCAAAGGAAGATTAGAGATTACTAGAGAAGTTGTCTATTATGTCACCCAAATAATATATTATCTTCTTTTGTCTTTTCTTTTATTTTTTTGAGACACCGTCTCACTTTGTGCCTTGGGTAGAGTGCCATGTAAATACTATGTTATTTCCATCTGTTAACTACAATCTTGGACAAAGTAAGATAGATTAACATTGGCAGCAGAGTAACACTTTATTAATTGTACACCCGTGTTAAAAACATTAAAAATCGGGCGGTGCCTGTGGTTCAAAGGATTAGGGCACCAGCCCCATATACTAGAGGTGGCAGGTTCAAACCCAGTCCCAGCCAAAAAACTGCAGAAAAAAAAAATTAAAAATCATTTAGTTTTATTAATGAAAATAATTAACCTTTTGAAAAATTACTATTATCAAGTTGTATTCAAAACTGGTAGCCTCAGCCATTGTGGAAAATAATAATTTTTGAGCCTGATTCCATCTTTAAGCCTCACTTTTGGATCTGTGATACATAGTGTAGAAATTACTAAGCCATATAAAAATAGCATTTTTACATATTTGACTCACTACATCCAACTGGGCTTATCTGAACATTCCCTAACATGTCAACCCCATGTGAAGAGGAAGAAAAGAGGCTGTGTCTTTGTGTTCTGCTTTGGCCCTGAGACCGGTAGGATAGCAAAGGAACTTCTAAGTGAAGGCACTGAGTAAGTTCTCCGAGAAATTAACTGGCCTATACGTGCCAGGTCAGAGCGAGGTAACCTTGTGATTTTGGAACAGCAAGGAATACTGTAGCTTTCAGCCAAGATAGAATAATAGAAATTGTGTTTAACTTACCAAGAGAAACAATGATAATTTTTCTATGCTGGAACTCAGGCTATGCAGAACTATATAATCCCTGAGAAGAGGAAAGCAAAAAATGTGCTCCCTAGAATTGTACTGACCGACTGTTTGAAGGCAGATTCCAGTTTGTAGCTCAGAGAGAGGGAGCTCAGCCAGCACCCAGGGGTTTTTGCTAAATTGAGAATATAAAGATTGGCGTTTTGAGAGGCCAAGGTGGAGCTTCAGAGAGAAATAAAACACAGGTGGGTGAGGAGGGGGAGGAGGAGAGGGGAAGAGAGAGAGAGAGAGAGAGAGTTTTGATTTTCCCCAGAGATCTTAGGAGAAGATTAGTCCCTAGAATCTTTGGCTAATAATTTTTTCTGACCACACATCATAAGAGTAGAGTATAAATGTCTTAACACAACAATTAAGTAAGTGAAGGCTATGTTAACCAGTTTGATGTAAGCACTCCAAATTGTATATAAAATCAGCACATTGTACCCTATAAATGTGCTCATGTACAGAGTTATGATTTAATTTAAAAAGAAAAAAAAAAAAGGAACTACCTTTGCCCAGGAAAAGGATCACTGGAAAGGAGCATTTAGGACTCAGAACAGTTTGTGTGTCCACAGGCTGCAGTGGGAAGATCTCATAACACAGGAGATCTGATAAGATGCTTGGGTTTATCCAGGGGGTCACATCAAGGCCTTGGAATGATCCAAGTGATTCCCGTGACTTAGCTGTGCATGAGAAGAAAATACAACACTAAACTAAGTACAACAAAATCTGTCAATTAACGATGTGTGCGCATTGTCTAGCATCCAGTAACAAAAGTTAGGAATGTGAGAAAGTCAGGACATATGGTTCATAACTAGGAGGAAATAATGGGTAAAACTGACCCAGAGGTGGAACCTAGAGTCAGAGCATTTTCCCTGCTGCAACATGGACTCTCCCCTAGTTATAATCTTAGTCTTCTCCTTGCACTAATCCATGCAAAAATGATTTTTCCTAAAAAGAGATGGAGACTTTACATCTTTTATGTTTACCTCGATGGAACTGGAACATATTCTTAGTAAAATATCTCAAGAATGGAAGAAAAAGTGCCCAATGTACTCAATACTACTCTGAAATCAATATATAATTACCTACATATTCATACAAATGATATAACGCAACTATAGTCCAGAAAGAAGGAAGGGAGAAGAGGGAGAAGGGAGCGGGGGATGGCTGGGTGGAGGGAGGGTATATGGTCGGACCTCACCTAATGTGCACAATGCAATGGTACATTTCAAAACTATTAAGAGTAGACTATAAATGTCTTACCACAACAAATAAGTAAGTTGGGTGATGGTTATGTTAACAAGTTTGATGTAAGCATTCCACATTGTATATCAAATCAGCACATTGTACCCCATAAATGCATTAATGGACACAGTTATGATTTAATAAAAAATAGTAATAAAAATGATTTCTCCTTATGAAATAAATAAGTAAATAAATAAATAAAGCAGACCTAGAGAAGTTAGAAATAGCAGACAAGGATAATTATAGAGATACACAGGATAATGATGAAGATAAAACTTGGAAATAAATGGGCATTACAGAAATGAAAAATACAACATTTATTATAAAATATATATGAGATGTGGTTAACAGTGGACTAGACATCACAGGAAAAAAAAATTCCAATGATGTTATGTACCCACAACAGAAGGAAGACAGTGAAAAAGATACGGAACTGAGTCTGATTTATAGAATTCAATGTCTTTTCTTATGCGAATGCAGAAGAGAAAATTACTTGCATGAAGGGATGGAAGCTATTAAGATCATCCTGATTTTTAAATAAGCTATGCCGGTTGGGCATGGTGGCTCATACCTATAATCCTAGCACTCTGGGAGGCAGAAGCAGATGGATTGCCTGAGCTCACTGTTTAAGACCAGCTGGAGCAAGAGTGAGACCTCATCTCTAAAGACAAAACTAGTCAGGCGTTGTGGCAGAAGCCTGTAGTCCCAGCTACTTGGGAGGTCGAGGCAAGAGGATGAACTCAAGAGTCTGAGGCTATTGTGAGCCATGATGCCATGGCACTCTACCAAGGGAAACAAAGGGAGCCTCTGTTTCAAAAAAATAAAAAATCAATAAAACTAAACTAAACTAAAATAAAATAAGCTGTGCCCTTTCCCAGGCTCATTTTGAGGCCTCAGTGAAAAATCCCAGTAATAATCCATGTGGGCACTTCTTAGTCTCACTATTACAGAGAAGGAAACTGAGGCTCTGGATGGCTGAATCAGAAAGGCATGAAGCCCAGAGTTTATTCACTCCAAAGTCTCCACTACTCCATAGTACAAATGGTCTTACATCTTCTGGGGGGAAAAAGGATTCATTGCAAAGATATTTTGAGTTTCTACTGCACTGTGTGAAATAAAGAAGAAGGGGAATTTGACCTTCTCTAGGTTCTTGTCCTCATCATCTCATCCATAAGTTAGTCAACAGCTTCATTGGAGAGGGAAGAAGAAACACCCTGTCCAGAGGTGCAGGGACTGCAGAGGCTCGTGTTGAGGAATGTATGTTCCTTCACTGACTGGACCAGTACAATCCTACTTTCCTTGTTCCCTCTAGGAGTCCTGCCCCTTTCAGAGCATTAATCTCTGTCTTTTCTTCTTGGGTTGAAGTCATTTTAGTCAGTAATGACTCCCTCTCCAAGGCCAAATGCAATAACATTATTCTGCCACTATTAGTAGAATGGAGCCTCTAACCCCAGTGGAATTCATATCTCACAATGACTGACTGCAACAAAAGATTAGGGTCCTCCTTATACCCCAATCTCAGAATTCTGGCCCTCACCCATTTTTCCCCTCAGCCCTCTCTGGACCACGATTCAAGGATGCCTGCTGCCTTCCTATCTTGGATGACTCTCTTAACCCCTCTGGGTTGCTGCCCCAGCTACAAAAAATGTGTTGTACAAGTTAACCAACATTTTTCCTGATTTTCTTTGACTCTATTGTTAGTATTTTTGCAATGTTATATGTGATGACAAACATATGTCTTCTTTCACACTTCAAGGTCAGATACAAAGGGAAAAGTTCAGAAGCACTTTCGTGAACCTTAACATTCTAAGTATTTTTCTCTAGGGTTCTGGTCATGATGACACAGGGGGCACAGCACTGGCACTTGCAAGTGAGGGAGATGGTCCAAGACTAACAGGGTTTGGATCTTAACTCTATCACTTACCTATTGTTTGACCTTGAGCAAATGTATCCTTCCTTGTCTATAGCTATATGTCAATAAAGGGCAGTAAATATTAATACTTACTTTCTAGGGTTTTGAGATAAAAATTAAATGCTGTGTCTGCCATGACTGAGACTTTCTATGTGTCCTTTCTTACCTTAGAAGGATCTGTCTTTTTTTTTTTTTTTTTGTAATTTAGGCTATTTGTTTGTTCTATGTCCTCAGATCCCAAATGAATTCGAGAACATGTACAATTTATAGATAACTTCCTTTTATTGTTAGGGTGGGAGCAATATTTTTCTCAACTTTTCAAATTCTTGGTAGAAGAGAATTAAGGTTACATTTTCTTACTTGGGAGTTCCATCTTTCAAAAGGAATTTAGTCTGGTTCATTACTCATAACTAGTTGGACTAGGTAATTTAAACTGATTGTTTTTGGATGGAAGGGGTAGGATACAGTCCTGCAGAGTTATTTATTTGTCAAATAAATTAAACAATAAGGATGACATAACCATCTTACATGACCATCTTCTATGGCTTGGATTATCCTCTGTTGTGTGTTTGTTCTACCAGTTATAATATATGTATCTGAAGGGGTTTTTGCTTCAGGTTCTCAGTAAGGAAAAAAATTTCAGTGAGGATGTTAAACAGCCATATACTTGGAATGATGTAGGAGATCCCAAGGACAAGAAATCTCTATCCCTGATTGGCACAGAAGAGGCAGATTCCCATGAATGCATGAATATAAAGAAACCACAGGCTTCACAAGACAATAATCAACTTTAGTGGGGCTGCAAGTTTATTTTCCCTATGTTTTGACATGACAGTCTCAGTTACATCCCAGGGATATTTATATCTTACCTTTCAGCACAAAGACATTTGCTTCACTTATATGTTGCTTACAAAGGGGCATTGTTGAGAAGATTTGTGTAATATACCATTGATCTTAACCTGTTCTGGATGCCATGATAAAAATACCATAAACTGTGGCTTAGTCAACAAATATTTGACAGTTCTGGAGCCTAGGGATATATTGGACACCTTCTCCCTAAAATCCTTCTTACTGTCACAGCACCACATAATCTGGAGGAAGCCCTCAACTCCCAGCTGCTCCTTAAAGAGGAAAAGAGAGAACTAGACCAGTGCCATAAAGACTTTATGCCTGCCTTATGTGAGGACTAGTTTTTGTCCTGCTTGAGACTGAGTGCTGACAGGAAAGGACCTGAACAGGGAGCCACTGAGGACAAAGTTGACAGTGTGTACTAGTGTACACTCACTTGCAATACTCCTGATCACCACTTTAATGCAGCGAATAAAACTCTAAAAAGAAAGGTTTTAAAAAGAAAACATCCAACTTTTCCTCCAACTCATAACAGTCAGAGATTTTAACACTTGTTTGGCAGTGTTGGATAGATCCTTCAAGAAACTCAGCAAATAAATTTTAGACTTAAACTTAACCATTTAATATTTGGATTTAACAGACATCTACAGAACATTTTGTCCTAACAAAACTGAGTACGCATTCTTCTCATCAGCCCATGGAATATACTCCAAAATTGATCACATCTTAGGTCACAAGTCTAACTTCAGCAAATTTATTTATTTTATTATTTTTTTAAATTAAATCATAGTTGTGTACATTAATACTATCATGGGGTACAGTGTGTTGTTTCCACATATAATTTGAAATACTTTCATCCAATTGGCCAACATAGCCTTCATGTCATTCTCATAGTTGTTGTGTTAAGACATTTATATTCCACATTTAGAA